TTTAAGGAGCTTCTTTTTTCAGCTTTCTAACAAAGTTATAGAACCCATTAAAATAATTTAAAAATGTCAGTAAGATTGCGTTGAAAAATCCACATTTTACCAAAATCAAAAACAAGCCTAACAGCATATTCTAATACAGGTACTACATTCATCAAAACAATCTCAACAATTCAGCACGTGCATAAATATTATATAATATGCATTAATATAAAGATTAGTTGTTCATCTTTAACAACTAACTTTATGATAGTTAAAATGAATGAACTTCTTTCATTTTTGGAATTAAAGGAAATTATAGATATCTAGTTTGAATTTGGTAGACCCAAGACGGATCAAACAGAGTAAAATATTACTTTGAAACTAGTAATGTAAAGATTTTAATATTGCATTGTAAGAAGTTGTAGTCATCTGTTCTCACATTAGAATCAAGAAATGCAGATTTCTGTAGCTTTAACCAGATGTGTTAAAGCTACAGGAATAGCTTTAACAGTTAATGAAAATAGTTTGAAAGATCAATTCTGTTGATAGTTTTGGAGTTAGTAGTTGAACGAGTAATATTGATTGTTGATTAAAATGAAAAAGCACTGTTTATATCTACAATTACAGACTAGTAAAACTTGAATCTAGGATTTTTATTGTCAATTACAATGTCAGTGTGGAAACCACTTTTGTTTCCACTATGCAGTAGTTGGCACTGTCACCTCACAATGATTGTGATTGGTGGTCTGTATCTTGGTGTTAGCCCTGCGACAGACTGTCCAGGGTGTACTAGGACCTCTCACCCCATGACTGCTGGGCTCCAGCCTCAGAGCATCCTACTTTGGAATAAAACAACATTTAATACATGAATTAGTGAAATTCAACTGCCAAATTAAAATTTAATGTAAAGTCTGATGTTTCATAATGTCTGTTGCAGTGGTGGAGAAGCAAGATGGTAAAACAACAAATGTAAGTAAAGCTCAGAACCATTCAAAATTTTATTGTTGTGAAGTTAAATAATTGCAAAACTTTTTTTGAATCATCATTGTTTTGGATAATTACACAAAACATTTTGATGTATTTTAATAAGGCCTAATATAAATACGTAATAAACTCTGTAACCAGCAGTGAGAGACCATGTTGGAGTTGAGGAGTATTATTCCGCACTTGTAAATAAATAGCAAATGCTATTAGTATAATAAAAATGCTTTGATTCTGATAAAGTAACTGTCATATCTCTTATTTTTATGTTAGATTGAAGGACAAATTCTGGAAGTTCCAGTCGGAGCACAGCCTCCAAATCCCACAGCCAAGTGTCCAATCTACAGATGGAATCTGCAGAACAAATACAACTACACAGTAAATACTTTCACTGTTATTAGTGACATTATTATTAATATTACTGTATTAGCCTGATTTTCTCTTTCTTTTTTGTATTTTCCCTTCCCAGGATGTCTTGTTGCTCAGTCAGTTCATCAGGTCAGATGGAGGGATGTTGCCCAGGAGAGTCACTGGTCTCTGTCCAGAAGAGCACCGCAAGATTGCCATTTGTGTACAGATGGCTCACAGAGCAGGTCAGTGGAAGTCCTGCTGTTGCGCTTTAAGTTTTTAAGTTACCCATCAGTAGCACCTCCACAGCTCTAGACACGTGTCATATATCATGAAGCCTCCTTGTACTTTCTTTCCACCTGTAAGTGGGTTATTTAGTTTACTCAGATAAAATAAATACAAAGGTTAATAGCCACTTTGTCTGAGTCTATTTTTAATTAGCTTGGGTTCAGCGGAGTGACTTTTATGTGTCCTTTATTTAGCAAGGTAAAAATGTTTGACAATAAAAATGGTCTTTTTCAAAACAGATGTAGCCAAGAGGGCAGCAAATTGTAACAAATGTAACATAGCAGTTATATATAGACATTTTAAGAGGCCAGACAGGAATGAATTGATTATAATGTTGGTGCAGTAATGCAGCACTTGCAAAACAGGTCACAAGAAACAAAAGAATTTAGTGTTTGGCAGTCAGTCGTTTTTTAAGCACGGCAAGGGAACAAACTGTACACTGATCATGATTTTCATACTTTTCCTGAGCCTGTCAGAGTATTTCTGCTGCATTAAACACGCACGAGGGGTCAGAAGATCACAGCATAGTTAATTCTTGGCTTTTTCTCTTGCTTTGAGAGATTTCACCTGAGTACACAATTTTGAAACCCCTCTAAGTCTTTCTGCTAAAGATTTATGTGCATTTTGTTAATACCCAGTCATCATGCTGACTTGTTGCTAATGAATCTAATGAATTCCTAATGAGTGAGAAATTCCACCTGTTGGACCCTTCCAACATTTTTCCTGTTTTAATATAAAACATTGATATAGTCATTGTGATACAACCCACTATTTTTCAGGGCTATCAGTTATCTTATATGGATGAATACTAGCAACATGCATTACTATATAATATTTGTTGGTAATTCCATTAAAAGACGGCAGAGAGATGCAGTTCAGTGAGTCCTGTTATTGGAGGGAGAGCCTAGCAGACACTGAATGGCTCTAGCTGCCTGTGTCAACAAATGCAACTGTGTCCTTAACTCTAGTATTCAGGTGGATGAGTTGTTTTAAAAACAAGTCTGGTCATGAAATTTCCTCTCTGCTAAATATTTCACAGTTAGTATTATTACAATAAAGTAGAAGTGATTTGGAACGACAGAAAATTAGAGTGGGGTTATGGGATGCTAAGGCACTTACTGCACTGAGGTCAAATCAACTTTCTGCAGAGTACTCACTACAGACCTCCAAGCTTCATGTGGCCTTCAGATAAGCTCAAGAACAGTGTGTAGAGAGGTTCATGGAGTGCGTTTTCATGGCCGAGCAGCTGCATCCAAGCCTTAAATCACCATGCTGTCTGGCAATCCGATGGATGAGTCTGGGTTTGGTGTTTGTCATGAAACCAGTACTTGTGTGACTGCATTGTGCCAAGTGTAAAGTTTGGTGGAGGGAGGATTATGGTGTGGGAGTTGTTTTTTTTTTTAGGAGTTGGGCTTGCACCCTTAGTTCCAGTGAGAGAAACTCTTGATGTTTCAGCATCCCAAGACATTTTGGACAATTTCACTCCCCAACGGGGCAGGGATAGCTCAGTAGGTGGAGTGGTGGCCCCGTGATCGGAAGGTTGGGGGTTCGATTCCCCTGAACAGCTACCCTGAGGTACCCCTGAGCAAGGTACCATCCCTACACACTGCTCCCCGGGCGCCCAATTGCTGCCCACTGCTTCACTGAGTGAATGGGTTAAATGCAGAGAGGAATTTCCCCACGGGGATCAATAAAGTACACTTTCTTTCTTTCTTTGTGGGATCAGTTTGGGTTTGACCCCTTCTGGTCCAACATGACTACTCACCAGTGTACAAAGCAAGGTCCAAAAAGAAATGGATGAGTGAGTTTAGTGTGGAAGAACTTGACTGGCCTGCGCAGAGTCACCTCACCCGACAGAACACCTTTGGGATTAGAGTGGAGACTGTGAGTCAGGCCTGGTCGTGAAACATCAGTGTTTGACCTCACAAATGTGCTTCTGGAAGAAATGCCCAAAAATTCCCATAAACGCTCTTAAACCTTGTGGAAAGCCTTCCGAGAAGATTTGAAGCTGTTATAGCCGCAAAGGTTAGGCTGACGTCATATTAACGCCTATGGATTAAGAATGAGATATCCTTGAGTTCATATGCGTGTAAAAGCAAACAAGCGAATACTTTTGGCAGTACACTGCATTTTCTTTGTACTTTTCAAAATCAAGCACAAATAATTTTAACTTTTGAGTTCTGTTTATACCTTCATTTTACAAAGCATCACAGCTTGTTATGAAAGGTTTGAATTTGACACTGCCTAAAGGCAAATAATTGTGCAACCTGGACCAAGACATGATAGTAGGGTTGTAAACTTGTTCTTGCTTGTTCCTCAAGTCTTTTATTCATTTTAGAACAACCTGAATTTGTCTGCTTCACGTGTTTATCATCTACTACGCAGACGATAAACACTGTCAGCTGTAACATTACATTAAATGAAAACTGAGCAGTAATTTGGTGACTGTAATGACAGTGAGAAGTAAATCTTAATGTGTCATCAGTACATTGTCTTTTATAACTGTCTTTTGAGAGTTTGTAACAGTATTTATTTTTTTTAATACAAGTACTGAGAAATTTAAGTTAATAAATGCATCTTGTTATTTTGTGTGTTCAAGGTCTGCTTCCTGACCATAAACCCAAACTTCCAGAAGACCATGTCCCAAAGAGACCCAAGCCCAAACTTAACAGGTGACGCATGTATCTATGTCTGCGTATGCTTTTTTTTCAACATTTGTATCCAGCGCAGTGCTGTTAATAATTCCCCTGCACCTCTGTTTGTTGTACAGATACCTGACTCGCTGGTCCATTGACTCAGTGAAACCCATCTATAAAACTGGACTGAAGTGGTGTAAGAAGCGTATGCCTGTTGGCCACCCAATACTAAAGAACAATGTGCGTTATGGTGTCAAGCCCTTGTACATAAAACACTGAAGGACCAAAAGCCTGAAAGATTGGTACAACTGGAGGAAAGTGGGTGGACCCATTTATTCAGGGATGAAACCACCATATCCCTGACTGCTAACCTTGACCGTTGTCATACGGTTCTGAGAAGGGAGGAAACAATTCCTAAAAGCTTCATCCATCTGTGTTTATTCTAACTTTTGTTTATTAAGCTGAGTCACTCTTTTAATGAATCACACTCAGACCCACCCGACACCATCTATTCTGGCTGTTGCTTTTCAAAAAAAAAAAAAAAAAAAAGAAACTCTTGAAGGAAACCTGCTGACAACTTAATGCAAGCAACAACCTGATCAGTGTTACAGTTTCAAAGTAGGTGGTATGGTGACTGTGTATACTCAATGCAACACAGATGTGAAAATAAAATGTGTGTTTACTCTGCCTCTCAACATGTGTTTACTGTGTAGGCACGGCCTTTGTGAATTGGAAGTAAACACAACAAAAAGTCTGTAGACACTAAACTGACTGTACCAACCTAGTTTTATTTGTTTTATAATACAACAAGATCTTAGCAGATTTTGGTTTTGTGAATTACTGAGAGTATGCAGCTTGAAAAAAAGCTTTTATAGCATGAAAGGAAGGTCCAAATTCTTGGTCCCGTCACCTATATAGATGTATCCATGCTGTGGTGTCATTGGCACGTGGTAGAAGGTCAGGCCGAACCACAGCAGACTGCGAAGCACGCACACTTTTCTTGCGAACTCAAACTGAAGACTCCAAGATCCTAGACACAAACACACAAGACTTGTAAACAGTTAATAGGAAAAGCAGGACGCTGCTAAATTATGTTCTCCAACAGAACCGTGAAGCTGAGCTGAAATAAAGGCTAAACACTAATCTTTGGAAATCTTACACTATTCAGCCAGAGGATACACCAATGAATCACGCTTTTGTGCTTTTGATGTCTATAGTCTAACCCGTTTGCCAAGTATGTTCGGGGTGTGACCATGAACGCCAAGAACCTAGGGAATTAAAACAATGATTTAATTGGACCTGCTACTATGAAAACGTGATTACATAAAAGAGTTTAAAGGCCAATATTTAAAAAAAAAAAAAAAAGTTGCAACTTTCCTGTTTCTGGATTTGATTTCAAAATATGATGCAACTAAAAGTAAAAAAACCCACGTCAACAGTATGTAATGTGCGTAGCAGAAGGCGAAACAAACTTAAATCAGGAGCTGGAAGCGGTTTGAGGGATGGTTAAGGAAAAGGGGGAGAGCCCAGCTTTGGGTCTCAGAGGAAAGCACCTGTCTTTTGGTGGAGATACATGATCCTGTTTTTCCCCTAGTGTCCCGTTAAGAAATGTTAACTCTTTATCCTTTCAGGCAGGAACATGCAATCCGCTGCAGTGAGCGTGGCACTGAAACAGCTGTGTGCTGTCTGCTTTAGACATGATGCAGCTGACATCCACATCAACACAACGAACACACACCGACTTGTACACATGTGGAAGCTCTCTGTCAGACATCTGCTGCATGTTTGGTTAAGGGTGCTAAACCTTTTTTTCTCTCTCTCCCTCACACACCCTGTTAAATCCAGACACTCACTCTTTACATTCACTCTGGTCTGGAGCATATCCAGTCGCTAACCTCGCAGACATGACTTTGCATGTCTGCTTTCACATTATTCTTTGCACAGTGTTCACTGTTGATGTTTTCCTGCTATGTGTGATAGTTTTTTTCCCCAATAATGTGCAGCCAGGATTATCATGTCATGCTTTCTGCTACATTGCCACATAATGATAGATGGTAGTAGTCCGTAGATGATATTATAGTTTGAGTTTGACTCCCATCCAAATGTGAGAAAATTCCATTAATCATGCAACATCAGTTTGGTTGGTGGTCCTATTTTACTGGTTTCTCTCCTGGTTCTCATTTTCCTCTCTCCCCTCAGGAATTGTTTATGGTAGAAGGCCAAAATCAAATTAATGTGCACCAAATCCTGTACTCAAAGCCCAGATATTCCAAATCCAAAAAGCCTGAGTGTCAGACCAAAGCATATAAACTCTGGGTAAGTAGACACAGGGAAATTCTTCTAAGCATATATTCCCAAAAATCCTTCCCATGTGGCTGGTATGTTAATGTCAGACGGTTTTAGAGGTTTGTGTTTATTGGTAGCCTCACTTGAACCACCGTTTTACTGGTAAAATTATGCAATTTGTTTCCACTTGGAAGAAGACCCTTATGGTTTTCAAACAGCTGAATCACCACAAGCGTTTTCTGTGAAAATCACCCCTTGTAATGTAGCACAGCAAATGGAACACATATTAACGTCAAATCACCGCCCAATTCTGCTGAGATCAGTTATAAAATAAGAGCAATTAGCAGAAAATGAAATACTTGTTAAAAACAAATCTTAGGACCTGCACTGTTGAATTTATGCAATGAAAAAAATGTGACTGTGTGTTCAGGACAGATTAAGCTCTGTAGTGTCACCTTTCGGAATGTCATCACTGAGTGCATCCAGATAGTCCATTGCTGGGTTCCAATCACCCATGTCCAGGGCAGATTTCTTCTTATTTTTTGATTGTCTGAAGTGAAGGAAATTGTCAAGCTTCCTTGCTTCTGCCTCAGACAGACCTGAAGAAAAAAAAAATCACACAATCTTGCCCATGTTTTACAAAAGATACAACAAAATACTGTATTTGTTGTTGATAAATGCAATAACATGTCATTTTGTATGACATCAACGTTCACCATCATGTTGGCCCAAAGGTAACATGAAAAGGAATAACAGAAACAATGCACTTGTTTTAGTAGCCAAAAGTTTGTTGGCTGGCAAACTTAAGACAAGCCTTTCATGTGCCTTCTTGACTAGGGGAACATTATGGGTGCTGCAAGGTTTCAATCCATTACAGTGCGTTACCAATGCTGTTCTTGATGACCGTGGTCCTCCCAACTGCCTTCAGATCATTAAGAGACTGTTCATTTCTTTGTAAGTGAAGTGAAGCAAGGGGATCAAATTGTTATTTCCCCCACAGTATATACATATTTACCACAGAAGCTGCGGTTGAGCTGGACAAGACCACGTGGACTCTTGATGAAGGCGCCACGAGGCACCACAGACACTTCTGCATCGATCTGATGAACGGACACTGCCAGTCTTTTTTCCTCAGTTACTGTTATCTGTAACCAATATAAGCCAGAAAAAGAAGAAGAAAAAAATCAAACATTTGTCTTGTTTTTTTTTACATTATGTTCAGTTTGGTTGCATGTAGATTCTTGTTTGAATTCATTGCATCATCGAACACTGCAGTAACACTGAATGGAACAGGAAAACACTTCATCCTGTAATTCAATTCGCTGTCTTACTAAACAGCACTGATCACACTTACCACTGCCTTCTCATTTACAGGCTCATTTCCCTTTCCTTGCCTGTGGATCTCTTGATGTTCATACACAAATGACGGGTCTCCCATGAAGCGACCCTTTGTAGCTTTGGACACTTCCTCTATCATAGAGTCTGAGGCAGGGGGAAGTAGGAACCAGTCCATGCAGTTCAAGCTGGAGTTAACACCACAAAATAGCAGCCCAATGGTATATCTCACGATCTTAAATAAATGTACAGTGGCTAAAATTAAAAATAAAATAAAAAAGACACTTGAAGCGGATGTCTTACCTATACAGGTTCTTTTTGTCTTTCATCTCATCTTCTCCTCTCCCCTGAGCAATAAAATAAACCCCATTAATTCCTAATATTTTACCCCAAAACAACACTCGACTGAACTTGTAGTTTTTCTTCAGGAGCACTAAGGAAGACTCCAGGGCGGTTCTTTGCTCGAGGGTTAAAATATGTCCACTACCAGCAACGAGCTCCAAAGAATAATACAACGAATTTGAGTCCATTATGTAACAGCTACAAGCTTTTACAAAGTCGTTTTCAATTAAATTAACGTGTTTTTTCCGACTATTTGTTAGCTAAAATAACAGCTAAAAAGCCCTACAGGTCGTGTCTTTGCACTCTAATGGCAACAAACACAGTTGCCATGGTTACGCAGGGTTATTCGCTCATCGTGTTTATTTACTATTTTGAATAACTCCCCCCCCCCCAAGTGTTTCGTGCCTCTACGGGACATAACGATTAAAACAGACACGAAACATAGTTCATGTCGGGCGTGTTTGCTTATGATGTTTCCATAAACCAGACCACGAGCGACTGACGTCATCAACTCAAGTGTGTGCGTGCTAGCAGCGGTTCGGGGTGAAGCAGGCGGATAAAGTGCATAAACTTATAAATGTCAACCTGTCTGAATATGGTCGAGTTTGTGCCGGAGGGAAGATTTAATGAAAGCTTTCCGTCTTAACTCTTGAGACAGGTATTAACACACAAAAACATGTCGGAAGAAGAGCCAAGTAAACTACTGTGTCCTGGCTGCTGGCGGATTGATTTATTTTCTGTACAAGCAGCAAGTAAAAGTGTCTTAACCGAAACTTTACACAGGGCGTCACAGAAGCCATTTTTACTCAGGTGTTACTAATAACATTAACTTGGCCTCTGTACCTAAATAGAAAAACATCCTGTCAGCGTGAATGCTTTCATTAAGATCTGGTCATGCTGCAGTACTGTAAAAAGTATTGTAATATGACTATTAACATGTAAAATGGGTACATTTGGTTGGGGAAAAGTGCAAAAGGTAACTTCTGCCCCCCCCCCCCCCCCCCCAAAAAAAAACAAAGCAAAACAAAACAAAACATGAAGCCAACATGGAAATGGGGCAAAAAAACTGAAGTTTGACAAAGTGCCACTAGAGCACTCACCCATCAAAGAGTCCAATCTGGCCCACTGAAGAGTTGGAAAATGTGAAGAAGGGTATAGATTTTGGACTTTTTAACTTTATTTTGATAAATATTACAGCTTTATCTGCTGATAAAAAGCAAACTCATGGTCATTTTCTCTAAATTATCAAACTATTCTTTAATTACAACACAGACTGGGAAATATGCTGACAGAAATATTTTCTGTAATTTTACACATTTGTTTCTTACAGTTTAAGCCCAAAGATTTGTGCTGACAGATTTCTTACATTTACCATCTCAGTCTTGATGCATTCTCAATCATCCAGGAAAGGAAATCTCCAAAAAGTTGATTCTGTTCATCTGGACGTAGCGTTTTGTGGGAGAAACGTTTCGTCACTCATCCAAGTGACTTCTTCAGTCTCAGCTGACTGCAGGTTTCTCCAGTCTTATAAACAGTATATTTGCATAATGACTGAAACCAGCCCACTGAAGGAACAATGGGCTGGGAGGTCAGTTCCTTAAACATAATTATGCAAATTCATGACACCTGGGTTAAAATAAAATCTCAGGATGTACCACAATTCACGGATCACATTAACTCGGTGGACCGGCACATCAAATTCACCAGGGAGGATATGAAAAGTGGCAGGTTAGCCTTCTTGGAATGTGAGATTTCCATCAGTATGGGGGACATCTAAAAGCTGATGTGTACCGTAAACCTACACATACAGATCAGTATTTAAAGTTTGACTCTCATCATCCACTGGAGCACAAACTGGGTGTCATTAGGACGGTACAACACAGAGCGAACACCATCCCCACTGACACAGCGGCCAGGGAGGCAGAACAGCAGCACATCAAGAAGGCCCTGCGTAAATGTGGTTATCCCAGCTGGACGTTTGTCAAAGCTGGAAAGGCACCTAAAGAAAGCTCCAGCCAATCCAGGAGAGAAGGACAACCGCTGCCCAAGCGAAAACCTCTAGTGATCCCATATGTGTCAGGAGTATCGGAGCAGTTGAGATGCATTTTTTCTAAACACCGGGGCTCTGTGGCTTTTAAACCCCAAAACACGCTGCGCCAAAAACTGGTCTACCCCAAGGATCGGGTCCCCCGACACAAACAGAGTAACATAGTGTACGCTGTTAAGTGCCAGGAGGATTGCCAGGATTTATACATCGGGGAAACCAAACAACCTCTGGCGAAGCGGATGGCACAACACAGAACAGCTACCTCGTCAGGCCAGGACTCTGCAGTCTATTCACACCTACAGGCCAGTGGACACTCTTTCAATACACATCTTGGACAGGGAGGAACACTGGTTTGAGCGTGGAGTCAAGGAGGCCATTTACGTGAAAAGGGAAAGACCATCTCTGAATCGAGGAGGGGGCCTAAGGGTACATCTTTCGCCATCTTACAATGCTGTGATTGCAGCCATTCCCCAACTCTCTGTGAATGGTACTCATGGCCATTGATCAGTGGTCTTTGATCAGTGGGTTTTGGTCAGTGGTTGTTGATCAATGGTCATGAGAATTTGCATAATTACAGTTTTTTCTGAATGCTTAAACCCTAACTGTGATTCTTATAGCACAATTTCTAAAACTATTAATACTTATAGCAAAACCACTCACTGAGTTTGCAAAACTAAAAGCACAAACACTGCTTTGCACTCAGTTTGCCATTTTGTAACACACTTTGAAAACCTGTAGCTACAATCCACTGCACGGCACTCTTTTTGCAGAACTGTAAACACAACTCACTGCTTTACACTCAATTTCCAAATGATCAACGCACTTCTAGCAAAATTATACACATTTATGGCCATTATTTACACTATTTTGCCAACTGTCTGGCACACTGTCACATGTGAAAACTTTTTTAGATAATTAGTTCACTTTGCAATCAGCCTAAGCACTATAATACAGCTAAGCTCTGTGTGTGGAGTACAATGGAGGGAGCAGGAAGGGTGAGAAGTAGAGGAGGCCGAGGAAGAGGATGTGGAGGTGAAGAAATAGGACAAAGAGGACGACAAGGACAAGGAGGAGCAAGAGGAGGACGAGGAGGGGGGAGAGGAAGGGTAAGAAGAGTAAGAAATAGAATTGCTGATGACATCAGAGCTATAATAGTGGACCATGTAATCATCCATGGAGTGACCCTGAGGGAAGCTGGCCAACGGGTTCAACCTAACTTGAGCCGCTACACTGTAGCAAGCATCATAAGGACATTTTGAAATGAGAGTCGGTTAGTACAGTCACTTTGCACTAAGATTTGTAGCACTGCCATATGCCAATGAGAAACACAACAATACCATAGATGTAAAATTCCAGAAGATATTTTCCCCAGTGCTTGGACTAGAGGACATTGCATGTGATGTAGACAAAACTTTGTGACCGGACCCAGAGAGACGACACGATGTAGACTGATTTCTTTTTTTCCTCAGTGAAATTACTATTTTGTTTTGACTTGGAAATAAACACTTGTGTTTGTTTTGTTGTGTGTGAATAAACACCAGTACTTGAAGTTTGGATCCGTCTATGTTTATGGACCTATGACAACAGTATGAGCTCAATCTGACATGGCCTACCTTGTGCACAGAGAAAGCAAAAGCCAGATGTGTTTTTCATTCATACCATCAGTGTGTAGTTGGTGCAATGTGTGCTTATTAATGTGATGGCTTGTGTTAACTGTTGGATACCAAAATACCATTTTTACAAAGGTGTGGAGAGTTAAGCAAGGGTTATTCGCTTTTACAAGAAAACTACAATGTTTTGCTAATTGGGTGAAGAGTTTCCTTATTTGTGTGTAGAGTTTTGCAAAAATAGCCAATAGTTACAAAAAATGTGCTTAAGCCATCAGAAAAAACTGTAAGATTAAGGAACTGACCTCCCAGCCCATTGTTCCTTCAGTGGGCTGGGTTCAGTCATTATGCAAATGTACTGTTTATAAGACTGGGGAAACCTGCAGTCAGCTGAGACTGAAGAAGTCACTTGGATGACGCTACGCTACGTCCAGATGAACAGAATCAACTTTTTGGAGATTACCATCGCACTTTTTCAATAGCATGTAGAAAAACTGAGAGATGCTGGTAAAATGACACTTCTTTCTTGTTATTTTGAGATATCTAAAGGGATTAAATGTGTAGTGTTCTTTACACAGACAGAAAAGCCAGTTTGGTCCATTATGTAAAATCAGTTTGATGTCCTCTGCACTAAAGGCTGGCTCTAAAATGGATCAGATCCACAAAGTCTGATGTTAAAATGTTCAATTTAACAGTATTACAAAGCATATTTACAGTCTTAACCTCACATTTCCTCCACTGTTTAACATGGCAAATTGGGCAAGATTAAAACACACAATTTTTTGTTAGTTAAACAAAAAAAGAAAAAGGTTTTTACCATATTTTATTCTTTTACATATGCTGACAGCCTCTTGCAGCTTGCAGCACTATTCCTGGACACCTTGACCTTTCTGCACTCATTCCTGGCTGAGGAATTGTAAAATTTGTTGCTTCTATAGTTAAATAAATATTTGGTACGTTACTAAATATTTACTATCATATAAGTAGGGATGGGGAGTGTTTCTTTTAGAGCCGTGTCTTTAGTAAAAGAAGTAATAAAATGCTGAAAACAGCTCTTTACATATGAAACTGTATTATTGGCAAATTGTGTAAAAAAAAATCCCCATCAGTGTTATATTGATTAGTAGTACTGCTGTAGATGTTTAGAACCTAGCACTGTGTCATGTTAACTGTATGTACCTACAGCAGGATTAAAAATATTAATGAAAAATGAATCTATAAAAAAAACCCGGTCAAGTTGCTGGTTATATTATACTGGATGTGCAGCCTGAGAAGTGCAAGCTACAGCTTTGGTGAGTGAAATTCTAGTCATTTAGTAGTCCTACTCACATTGACTTACTCAATATGACTGCATTGCACCTGCACAGTCTTTGAATACAGATTGCTAACCAAGTTAGTTATCCTGATGAATTATCACTCAATCCTCTGATTCGTATAAATTAACCTCTAGCTGGAAAACGCAACATGGTGGCAGCGAAATGAATACACTGAAGCTTCAAGAATGCTGAAGTGTCTAACGTTGGCGTCATGGACGGGTTTCAAGGTTCCAGACCAATCTCTCCCGTTTGTCTTCTGCTTTGCCTCTGCAATCTAAGAGAGAAAACTGTGACTACATTTCACTGCGAATGTACTGTGTGTGGATGGTTGTAAGCGTGCAGTGAAAATCCATTATTTATTTCTTTTT